GGGCCTGGATGATGTCCTTCACACCCTGCTAAATCTGGGCGGGTGGGCTTTTCCTTTAGAGCTATGCAGTGGACTTCTACTTGGTTTCTTTCTTGCTTTTAGTTGTTAATCTTGGTGTTTTCGATCATAAGAAGAAGATTCTGGGATTATGGCCGCATTGCCCTGGTATCGGAAGCAGACAGGTAAAAGAATACTCCAGACTGTGAGTAGGTGAGACCCTTGCAAGCATGTCCCCTCTCGAGTGTGTGTTTAACCCCGGGGCATCTGGGGCACTCTGGTGAAAGGTCAGGCACAGCTCTGCTGCTGGTGTGCAGCTCTGTCGCCGAGGGCATGTGACGGCTGTGTCTGCTTTGGAAAGTAGAGACACTGCGATAATCCCTCCCTCAGAGAGTGCTGGAGTCTACGGAGGTTGTGCGTGTAGAACCGCAGCTGCTTTTTTGTATGCCTCTAATGGCGGAGGGACTGCCTGCCTTCTCCAGGGCCTGGCAGGGTGAGTCCCAGGGACAAAGGAGGCACTCAGTGTGCATGGATCAGAGTGGGATGCTGCTCCCATGCGGTCACTCCCTCTTTTTCCCCACACCACTGGCATGCTGGTGGCCAGTTGGAAAGAAAGTCAGTCCCCTGCAATGTGTGGTAGGTGTGGGGTGGATTTTTTTTTCTTTTTTTTAAAGATATAGCTGTGATCTACACTGACCTTAAACTCCTGGGCTCAAGCCATCCTCCTGCCTCAGCCTCCAGAGTAGCTGGAACTATAGATATGTGCCACCACACCTAGCCTTGTAAGGGTGGCTTTATTGTTTTGGTTTTTTGCTTTTGCTTTTGCTTTTGTGGCTTGTTACTTGTGAACCAGGTTTCACACTTGCTGAGAAGAGCAGGAGAGGGCAGGCTGCAGACCCAGCTCGGCACCTGTGGAGCGGCCTCATGTTTTTCCACCCCGAGACTCACTCGCCTTCAAGAACAGATGCCCACCTTCCTGATTCCCCTGAGAAGATCTCTCTGGGGCTCAAGGCTTCAAGGCCTGTGTGCAGGCCCTTTGGATTCCCTTCAGAAAATCATGGCCAACCTTTAAAATCCATTTCTGGGCTGGAAGCGCAGATCCATGGTAGAGCCTCGCCTACCATATGGGAGACCGTGGGTTCCATAGCCAGCCCTGCAAACTTAATAAACAAATCGTTCAATCCCCAGTTTCCATCCAGAGCTGGCAGGGTTGCTAATGGAGGTGTCTCCCTCTACCTTCCTGAACCTTGAGGGGAGGTAGCCAGGGTGGCCGGGGAGGAGTGAGCAGCAGTCTAGAGTTAATAGGTTTCCAGAGCCAACAGAGGGAAAGACCTCAGGCCCCTCCTGCAGCTGGGAGACTCCAGCCTGCTGAGTGAATGCAGCCCAGAGCACCAGGACCCTGTGGAGTTTTGCTCAATGCACCTGTGCTGGCATCCGCACAGTGCATGTCAAGAAAACCAAACTCAACCTGAAACCCAGTCAACCCTGCTCTGCCTAGGAAACCAGGTTCTTTGATTCTGTATCTTAAATGAACCTCCAAAGCTGGGATTGATGCTGTGTGCCTTGTAGTTCCAGCTTCTCAGTAAGCTGAGGCAAGAGGATCCCTTGAGGCCAACCTGAGCAATACAGTAAGAGATGCTGCCAAAAACAAACAAACAACAACAACAACAACAACAACAAAAACTGTATAAAGAGAAGAGAAATTGTTCTGGGATGCCCAAAAAAAACAAACAACAACAACAACAAAAACTGTATAAAGAGAAGAGAAATTGTTCTGGGATGCCCAAGACCAGATCATACTTTCCCACTTGAGATCAGGCCTCATGGCTTCAGTTCTGCCTTAGAGCAAAGGGCAGGCTCACACATGTGGCTGAGGATACTCCAGGCTGAGTGCTGCGATTTGGACAGGGGTGATAGGAGCCAGTGAAGGAAGCAAGTGGAGCGTTGGACCACGGAGCTGTGTGGCCTGGGGTCCCCTCTGTGGGCCTGGATGATGTCCTTCACACCCTGCTAAATCTGGGCGGGTGGGCTTTTCCTTTAGAGCTATGCAGTGGACTTCTACTTGGTTTCTTTCTTGCTTTTAGTTGTTAATCTTGGTGTTTTCGATCATAAGAAGAAGATTCTGGGATTATGGCCGCATTGCCCTGGTATCGGAAGCAGACAGGTAAAAGAATACTCCAGACTGTGAGTGAGTATGTCAGAGTGTCGAAGTGTGTCACTGAGTGGCCAAGCAGGGCCCATGTGCAAGGGTGGCTTTTCCAAGTATACCTGCCCACCCTGAAACCTGGGATGACCTCCTCCTCGGTGACATGACTACTCCGAGGACAGAGTGCCCTGAGCACTGTCTTGGGCTTCGCGCAGTGGGGAAAACAGCTCCCAGGGCCTTGATCACCCACTGAGAAGCATGGGCAGCCCCCACCTTCATGGTGTTGACCTTGAGTCCCTGGTTGGGCAGAGGCCTCTGCTCTGGCATTTGCAGATCCCTGGGGCCATGACTTTGGACGAGGGGGCACCTGTTGGGGACCTCTGATGCTTTCTGCCACCATCGGCCAAGCAAGGTGCACTCTGCAATGGGAAAAAGTTTATGGGGCCCTGGAGGACCTGTGACCTTGGTCAGGCTCCAGGCTCATCTGCCTTTGGAGTGGCTGTGCACCGTTGTGTAAATGTGTCAAAAGTTACAATTCCTCTTGTTTTGTGCTGTTCGAAGTAGGATGGTGGAGCCAGAGGTAGGAGAAAAGCAGAAATTCACATAGTATAGACACCTCCGATTCACAGGGTACTTTTATGAAAGTGTTCAGAGGAAAGGATCAGATTAAAATGTCTCCCTTTAAGGTGCCACGGCACGTCAGCTCTCAAATGAGGGGCCTGCCGTCTCTCTATCTCTGAGGTGGGGTTCATCTTATTATGAGTGGTGGTCCTGTGGTAATTAACAGCATTGTTTGCTTCTTAGTGGTTCACAAAATAACTATGCACCTGACAACCAGTGGTAACTTATGCTTGATAAAATGCAGTGTTTTGTAAAAAGTGGACCTACTCCATTCACAGGGCCTAGAAATGTCCTGTAATGTTAAACCTTGCACGTAAATAATAAACCAAATAACACAATATCTTACATATTTACAAAGCTTATGCTTTGCTCTTTAGCTTTTTATTTGTTTATGTGTGTGTGTGTATGTGTGTGTGTGTGTGATACCTAATATATATGTTCATCACAGGGAATTGGTACATATACAAAAGTTGTCATTATCCTTTTTTTACTTCCCCCTCCTTCCCTTCTGTATTCATTCATCCCCATGTCCCTTTCCAATCTCCACAAGCTCTACCTCCTTCTTTCCTATCATGTGTCTTGTATTTTGCTCTTTAAATTACTTATACTTTGGATTTCTCATTTATTTTTGTCCCAGCCAGTGAGAGCCGATAAATTTGGTCCTGAATTCTAAGATTAGGCAGCAAAATACTGGACTAATTTTTCAACTTCTTTTTTTATTTTTTTACAACCATCTGTCACTTTGTTTTGTTTTGTGTCTCCAATAAATCCAGATTACAGAGATTGTCATCAACTTCCTCCTCGGGGAAGCAAGACTTGGAAAGTGAACTGGTTGGTACCCAAGGGACAGTGGAGTTGTGGCCGGGCTAGGGACAGGTAGGGGTTGGTGGTTTGGGTTGGCTGTATTCCGGGCCCTGTGGCTGTCGGGTGACCAGAGCTGGACAGTGCTGCCCTCCACATCAACAAAGCCATCTGAACTTGACAAGCACCCAGGACAGAAGCAGCCAGATGACCCTGCATTCAGAGACTTTAATGACTCACAGGCAGAGAGGGCTGGGGAACTCCAGCCTGCTCCATGTTTGTGCCTCATACTTATGGTTTTGCATTGTCCTGTCTGCTCGTCCCAGCTTATCTAGCCCTCTCCCTGGCACCAGGTACCCAGTAGGTGCTTAGTCATTGTTGAATTCAAATTCAAATATTTGAGATGAACAAATATTTTTCTTTCCCAACAGGGTAACAGGCCAGCCTTAGAGACTAGAAAGTTTAAAAGACATGAAGGTCAATAAAACTTGCACCCACGCTTTTCCTCTCTAAGCCCACTTCAAGGCACTTTCCGGTTGATTAAGCTTGTTTCTTCTCCTTGTCCCACGTCCTATCTGGTCTTTTAGCAACAATAGAACAGAAGCCCACATCCCTTTCTGTAGAGCACCCTGGACTTCACCAACTCTTGATCCTTTCATGATTGGAAGGCTCAGGTTGTCAGAATGTGGGGGTTCAGTGAAAGGTCCAGGCTTGGGGTGCACCTTACCAAGGCCCCGGGGCAACAGGCTGTGATATCTGGAACAACTGGCAGCTTTTGGTCATAGAATGGAAATGCTGTGTTTGTCTAACAGGAGGCTAATTGTTACTTAATTTCAAAGCCATCGCCTCCCAAACCCCAACTACTGGATGCTAATCCCCCTCTGTTTGCAGGGATGCTGCCCCTGGCTGATGGCCATCTTCCGTCTACAGTGAGTACCTGGGGCAGTGCCTGGGGGTGGGTGGCTTCAGTTGGGCTGCCTTGTCCAGGCACTTGGCCGTTGGGGAGGACAGAGCCAAGATGCCTGCTCCTCAGGCAGCACTTGGAGACCGAGAATAAAGGAGACTGTTGAGGGCACAGAAGGAGGGTGGCTGATTCAGGTGAGAAGATGCTATTCATTGCATAGCTTTGTCCTGGAGAGAAGTAGCCGGCAAGGACTCATTCCCAAGCATATTTCTGAGCATCTTCAGAGCCACAAACAACGTTGGGTGCCTGATGCTCACTCCTTGAGCCTGCTAGACAATGAGGGAGGTGGGCAGTGTCCCCGCTGTGAGCAGAGGTGGAAGGAAGGGCTGCCCTCATGTCCCAGCCCTTCCACAGCCGTGCTGCTGGCCTCAGCAAGCCGCTCATGCAAAGGTGGAGCACAGCCCCTTCCTCTCTAGTGAGGGAGTCTGGCTGTGTGAGACTGGAAAGTCCATGTCCCAGTGGACACAGCACTTCCTAGGGAGGGAATGTGGAGCAGGCCACCTCCCACTTCTGGGCCATGGCAAGGACCGGGAAGGAGGCAGGAGCAGTCAGGTACAATGACGTTGGAGTGATCAGAGCACAGGCTCACCTGCAGGGAAGGTGGAAGGTGGCCAGAGGCCTAGGCACACCCGAGCTGCATTCCAAAGGTGATTCCCTGCTGCCATCTTGCCACTGAAGCAGGAAGGGCTGTGGGATACCCATCTCCCCTCACCCATATGTGTGAGGTGGGCACAGATGTCCCCAGTGGTATAAGGTGGCAGGTAGCCATTCCTGTGCCTCTGGTGTGGTACAGGGACCAAGGGCATGGGCAGTCTTTCTGGACTTTTGTATGCACATATGTTAAAAAAAATCAATAAAGTAGGGATGACAGCACACCGTCTCCTAGGGTTGCTGCGAGTGTTAGATAACACAGTCCCTCCTCTTATGACAATTCCTTCTATGTATCTTGGCCAGCGATGACCAGATCCTGGAGAGGTGTGGAGAGGATGCCATCCACTACCTGTCCTTCCAGAGGCACCTCATCTTCCTGCTGGTGGCAGTCAGTGCCTTGTCCCTGTGCATTATCCTGCCCGTGAACCTCTCGGGAGACCTGCTAGGTAATGACCCACCCTCACATCTGTCTGGGTTGGAAGGGGCAGTGGCAGGGTAGGGAGCTGAGACAGGCACTCACTGTGGTAAAGCATACCCCCGCAGTCAAGCCCCATTCCGGATGGGAGGTGGTTTTGGGATGACTGAGAAGGATCCTGTCTGAGTAAAGGTCTGGAGGAGAATCAGCCCCAAACCCAGGCCTAGAACTGGGGCCCCTAATACCAATTTCTGCTTCTGTCTAAATAGGATTTTTAAACGTAGAGGTTGATAGGATAAAGGGGCTTCAGAAAGTGTTTTACACTTTCCTACCTTCACCCAATTCAGGAGGCCACAGTTTCTGGACTGGGAAGATGTCTGTGACGCTCAGTCAATATCAGTGTGGAAGTGTATCTCCCCAGCTTCCAAATGCCACCATGGAAACATTTGTATGCCTACTGATTCCATAGCTTGGTCTTGGTAACAGCTTAGGATATTTCTAGTTCTCTCAAAGCATCTAAAAGAGAGAAAAGTCTCCAAGGGAGAAGAGTGTGAACTCTGCCTCAGCGTGGCAGGTTGAGAAGTTGTCAGGGAGCACCTTGGAGCCCAGTAGAGGCCCTGACTGGTGCACCTCTGAAAAGACTGCGGGCACAGTGCTGCACCTCCCCAGGGCTCCCTCAGCAGAGGCAGGTGTGCTCTGTCCCCATCATGGCCCTGTGTGCTTCTCCACAGACAAAGACCCCTACAGTTTTGGAAGGACAACCATAGCAAACCTGGAGACCCAGTGAGTGTGGGCCCCGGGAGTGGGCTTCAGATGGGCAAGTCCATGAGGAGGCAGATGCACAGACGAGGGTGGACAGGCCGGTGTCTGTGGGTGTTGCAAGGCTCTTAGGGAACAGGGAGGCCAGCAGGTCCCGGCCTCTCCCTGATATTCACTGGGTCTTTGGAGGCATCTGGGATAACGGAGCCATTGGTCCTGCCCGCGCTGTCCCCACAGCAATGACCTGCTCTGGCTGCATGCTGTCTTTGCTGTCATCTACCTCTCCCTCACTGTGGGCTTCATGCGGCACCACACCCAGTCCATCAAGTACACAGAGGAGACCCTGGTGAGTGGGGACAGGGCTTTGGGGCCACAAGCTCGGTGGGGCCTCAAGCCTGGTTTGCATATTGGGCCTCGCTTGGCATCATCTTTGCGTCTTAGTCTCCTGGTGGATTGTTCAAGTGTTGGACCTTTGCCCCCATTCTGCCAGCTCACTCTTTGATCTGTGGGCTTGGGCTGGATGGAGTGAGACCAAGGAGAGAAGTTTGGGCGGCGGGGGCTTGGGTCAGCTTGGAGGTGCAGTACTTGACCAATGTGTCCGGCCTTGGATCTGTGCCCCAGGACAGCAGAACAGAAGGAACACAGAGGCGGAGGGCAGCCCTTCTTTCTGCGTCATGGCTTCAGCCCAGGTCTCCTCTGCTCTGCTGTGTGGCCCATTTGAGTCGCTCTCCCTCTCTGGGTTTTCCCTCAGCTCCTGTCCTGCCAAGGATGCTCGTACAGTTGCTTTGGAGATGGGTCCTTTATAGCTGGCAAGGACTGTAAATACAGCAACATTCTGTAGGTCCCAGAGGCCATGGGGCGAGAAAGCCAGGCCATCGGATTCTTTTTTCTTTCGGAAGACTGAAATTGGAGGGAAACCTGGACCACTTGCGGTGGCTCACCTTAGTGAATTTTCCTCCTGGTGTGTTTCTCTGGCAGGTTAGACGGACTCTGTTTATCACTGGAATCCCAAAAAGTGCCAAGAAAGAAGCCTTAGAGAGCTACTTCCAGTAAGCAGGGCTGAAGGGCCTGGGAGAGGGTGTTCTTAGTCCAGATGCAGCCCTGTGTGTTCTGGGCAAGGAACCTGCCAGGTATTCCATCCTCTGCAAGCAGCAACAGTATTCCACCTGATAATTGTCCAGAGGACAGCCCTGGACAAATGCAAGTAATCATTTTGAAAGCACATGGGAAAGAAAGTGATTTACTCTGGGTCTAAGCATCTGCTCTGCATAGTTAGAGAGCTGTGAACTGAGCTTTTCTGCCAAGCAGTGATAGAATCTTGAGCAACAATGACTTTGGTTGTCTCTGGGTGACCAACCCACCCAACAACTGTCTGCACAGGACCAGTATCTGTTGCCATAGCTCCTTTCCAACAGCCTCCACAGTTTTCTGCTCTGATTACTGAAGGGGAAAGTGGAAGAGTCTGTGCAGCTTAGAACCAAGGCAGGGCCTGGGGCCTCTGGAAGCCTCAGGCCAAAGAAAGAAAAGGAGAACCAAGACCTGTCATGTAAGGGTACAAGATCCCAATAATGAATGTAACTGTACTGTATACCTAAAATGTACCTATAAACTCAATAAGAAAAAAAAAAAAAGAAAGAGGTGACACCCAGAGGTTCCTTGCCAGTGCTGAGATCTGATCGTTCCTGCATTCCTTTCAGCTCTGCAGTCACTTATTTGTAGCATGCTCAAGGACTTGACTACACATTAACTTTATACTATTTATAAATAAAGCACTTGCAATGCAAATTATTAGTATGACCAGAACTGTGAAATAAATACTTAATATTTATTGATTTACTTCTTCAGCAATGCCAATATATTTAAGACATATTCACTTTTATAAAAATACTAGGTAGTGCAATGGCTTTTGTCTCTTCCTTGAGACAATGCCTCAAGCACCTAGAAAGTAGCACGTGGGGACTGCCATGGTCCTGGAGTTCCCAGGTTTGTCTAGTATGGTGTGTGGTATGGGCATGCAAGGGGCCTGCTAGCATTGACCTTGGAACTGTGCTGTCTGAATTGGGCTTCTGGCTCTGACATGCACTACCTGTGTGACCTTGGGCCTTGGTATTGTCAGCCCTCTCAGATTGTGATGAAGGTTACATAAGGAAATGTATTGTAACAGTTCCTAGCCAATAGTCAGTACATAGCCTTTTGCTGATTGTCACTATGTGCACAGACATTTTCTGGGCTGAAGGTTTCTTGCTGTCACTAGACCCTCTAAAAGTCTGTAACCTTCAAGTAAGTACATACTAAATGTGAACAAACAATAAAGCTCTTCTTTTGAGTAGTTAGAGGGAATAAGGAGTATGATGCTGAGGGTAACACCCAGGACTGAGACCCTGTGAATACCACTAAGCTAGGCCCCAGACATGAGCAGTGGCATCTGATGGAAAGCTGACTGTGCATATGCTTGCGACTTTGAGGGAGTTCCCTTCATCCTACTAAAATGTGCCTACCTTGGGGCTAGAAAGGTAACTCAGTGGTAGAAGACTTGCTTAGCATGAGCAAGATCCTGGAATCGATCCAAAAGAGTCTCTGTATTAAACTTCACAATTCCCCTCCTGGGGAATGCGTAACAGAAAAGAGCCTCTGTTGGCACAAACCCAACAGTGCAGTCCCTGCATCCTCCCAGGGAGGCCAGTGGGGTCTTCCTCTTGGACAGCCTCGTCCCATGGCTGCCGCCCCCTCACCCTCCACAGGGACGCATACCCAACATGTGAGGTGGCTGACGTCCAGCTGTGCTATGATGTGGCCAAGCTGATCTACCTGTGCGGGGAGAGGTAAGAGACAGGGCCCTGCCTTCAGGTGCCCTCCCTCCTGGCCAGGCGGGACTCCTCCATGGGGAGGAAAAGGATTGCCCTATCCTCGCTCAGAGCGGATCCCTGTGCTCCCTTGGAGGCTGATAGCCAGTGTGGCACGGGGCATCCACAGATTATGATCTGCAGTCTGCTGGTCCACACCCTCTCCCACTACCACAGAAAGAAGACTGAGAAGAGCCTGGCCTACTACACGAGCCTGCAGGAGAGGACTGGCCAGCCAACCTTCATCAACTCCAAGCCTTGCGGCCAGTTCTGCTGCTGTGAAGTGTGGGGCTGTGAGCAGGTGAGCATCAAGGCCCAGTGCATACTCCCTGACCTATGGGTCCATGTCACTCACAGGCTTTGTCTCCTGGCAGGAGGACACCATCGCCTACTACACTCGCCTATACAACCAGCTGCTAGAGAGGATCACTGAGGAGGAGTGCCAGGTCCAGGACCAGCCCCTGGGAATGGCATTTGTCACCTTCCGAGAGAAGTCCATGGCCACCTAGTAAGTGCAGCCCACCCAGCTTCTCTCGGCCTACTTTGACGCCACGTAAATCACTGGCTATGTCAGGGAGTGGGGATAGTACTGCCCTCACTCTGCCAGGATCTCAGCATGTGGGTGACTCTAAGGGATAGGAATCACCTGGAGGGTCCCTGAGTGCTCTAAGAGCCTCCCTCTGAGGGGACAGTGGGTGATCCTGGCCCTACTGGGGGACACATGGGTATTCTAGGAGCACATGTCTGCTCCAAGGTCTCATTGTGGGCACCCACGGGTGCTGTAGGATCTCAGTTTAGAACTCACTGATGTTCCGGGGCCTTGCTATGAGAGCCCTGGATACTGCAGGACCTCATTATGGTGACTCATGACTGCTCTCCTGCCTCATGCGGGGATTCATGTCTTGCCATGCTTCAGTATGCTTTGTAGCCTCACTGTTGGAACACTTGCTTGGTACAGGTCCTTATTGTAGATGCTCCAGGGCATCACTCTGGGGGGCCCATGGTTGCTTCAGGGCCTCATTATGGGAAGCTCACCTATTTTCCAGGGCTTCATTGTGAAGGTCTCATGTTTACTTGAGGGCCTCCCAACAGCTGCCCACAAGTACTCCTGAGACTCACGGTGGGACCACAGAAACATGAATGCTCCAGGTTTTAATTATTGGAGACCGTGGGTATGCTAGGTCCTCGCTGAGGGACATATTGGTGTAACAAGACCCCACTGTGGGAGTCCACAGTACACATGAGCCTCCTGTGGGGCCCCATATGTGC